TCCGACTGTGGCGGTGAGTTTGCCTCTAGTCAGCTTGGCCAGTTTTGTCGTGCGGAGGGCATCACCCAGACGTGCACCCTGCCGGACTCCCCGCCGCGGAATGGGGTCGCTGAGCGACGCATCGGTTTGGTCATGGAAGTCCCACATACCTCCATGATCCAGGCGGGTGCATCCCATTTTCTGTGGTCGTTTCGCGGTTCGCTACACCGCTCACCAGCTTAACCTGTGGCCACGCTCCCAGCGGCTGCAGGTTTCGCCGACCCTTCTCTGGATCACGTTCCTTGGTGACGCGTCTATGTTACATGTCTCAGGATGCCTTGCTCACGTTCGTGCCTCTTGCATGGACAAGCTCACTACCCGCACCATCCCTTGTGTCTTCCTTGGTTTCCCCCTCGACTCGTCTGACTGCCACTTTTACCACCCACCATCTCACTGTTTCTTTCACTCTTGCGACGTCACATTTGACGAGTCTGTCTCTTTCTACACCGCTGCTGGAGAGGGTTCTCGTTCCTGGGGTGCTAGTCTCTGGGGTTACTGTTGTGGCTCATCCCGGCAGTCCTGGGGGTGGCATCAGTATTGGAGAGAGTTCTCGGTCTGGGGGTGTTGGCGTGGAGTGTCCCGGAGGTAGCCGTGGTGCAGCTGGAGGTTCTGGCGCCGGCGTGGAGTAGCAGCAGCAGCAGTCACCGCCGGTGTCCGCCCTTTGCCTCCTCGATCTTCCCTCCCCTGACCGCCCGCCTGCGCCTCCCCCACCTGTGTATGGGGTTACTGTGTTTCCTCCGTCGGACTCGTTTCCGGCTCGTTTTCCCCTTCGTTCTCCTCCTGTGTCTCCTCCTATGTATCCTGACCCCAGTCCTCCGTCCCATTTCTGGTCTCATCGTCCCTCTCGTGCTCGTCCTGTCTCTCCTGTCCAATGCTCTCACCCCATGTTGCTTCGTTCCCATGCGTCACGTCCTCCCCTCCTCCTGTTGCCTCTTCCGTTGTTGCTGGCTGTCGTTCTGCCTCCTCTGTGTGACTACCTTCGTGCCACTTGTCCTCTTGTTCCTCGGGTCCTCCCCTCTCTTGTTACTGACCCGTCTGTTCCTGTCTCCAGTCTTGGCGCCTTCTCGCTACCGTCATTGACTTAGCCTCTACCCGCCGCCTTGACTATGCCACCGCTCTGGTCTCTGACCTTGCCCGTCCTCCGTCCGTCGGGGGTGCTTCTGCCCTTAGAAGTGACGTCCTGGAGGACCAGCAGTACGAGCTTGCTTTCCTGTCTGAGGCCGCGCCTCATCTCTACTCCATGCTGCTAGTCCTTGAGGGCGACCCAGACGCCTTCGACATCGCGATCCCTCGCACTTACGCTGAGGCGACCTCTGGACTTTGGGCCTCTCAAAGGATAGCTGCCATGGACGCGGGGATGGCATCTTGGAGATCCACTGGCATCCATGTTGACACAGTTCCCCCACCTAGGGTGAACGTAGTCGATGGCCGATGGCTCTTCAAGGTGAAGCACCCTGTAGAGCCGTCGGTGTTCAAGGTGCGCTACGTTGCTAGAGGCTTCAGTCAGCGCGAGGGTGTTGAATTCTTCCAGACCTTCGCACCGACCCCGAAGATGACCACTCTTCGGGCACAGCTACATGTAGCAGCACAGCGTGACTACGAGCTTCACTCTCTCGAGTTCTCGACAGCGTTTCTTTAGGGCAGTCTCCACGAGTAGGTCTACCTACGTCGCCCGCCAGGCTTCACCAGCACCTTCGCCCCGGGGACCCAGTGGCTCCTCCGGTGCCCGGTTCACGGCCAGCTGCAGGCGCCCCATGAGTGGCACGACATGCTTTGTGCTACGTTATCTGACTTGCAGCCCTTCCCGTCGTCTGTAGCCCCCTCGCTCTTCATTCGTGCTGGCCGGACCCCATTCTATAACCTTGTCTACGCAGACGACCTGGCCTTTGCTAATGTAGGCAGAGACGCACTGGCCTTTGTGAAGGCTGAGCTGCTGACCTCGAAGAGCTGCGCCACTACCTTGGCTTGCAGATCTCCAAGGACAGAGCAGCGCATACCATTATTCTTGCACACTCACACTTGGTGCGCCAGGTCCTTTAGAGGTTCAGCCTTCAGTTCTCCTCCGCATAGCCCACACCTCTGCCAGTAGATCACAGGCTCTCAGCTTCAGTCCTTGAGGAGTCTGTAGAGCCTAGTGGTTCTTAGGCAGAGCTAGTGGGTTGCCTTATGTACCTGATGACTTGCAATCGTCCAGATCTCGTATACCTTCTCCGCATCCTGGCTCGCTTTGTGGCCACAGGCAGACACCAACCACAACACTGGTCGGCCGCTAAGAGGGTTTTGCGTTATATAGCAAAGACATCGGGCATGGGGCTAGTGCTAGGAGGACGCAGACCAGTGGTCCTTACAGGGCACACAGACGATTCGTAGGCGCACGACGTTGAGACGCTCAGATCCTCCCATGGCTACTACTTTAGCCTTAGTGCAAGCGCCATCTCGTGGAGGTCCACCCGCTCGTCGTCTGTGAGGCTGAGATTACGCCGGTGCCATGGTGGCACATGATCTCCGCTGGCTAACTTTATTGCTCACAAACTTAGGTGAACAGCCTAGCTTTGCCCCGATCCTGTACACTGACAATAGGGCCACGATCCTCATGTGTCAGGACCCCCGACTGTAGGGCAGAGCGAAGCACATCCAGCTGCGGTACTTCCTCTTGCGCGAGCTACAGCAACGTCGGCAGGCCCGTGTAGTACACTTGGCCTCCGGTGCCAACACAGCTTATATCTTTATGAAGGCGTCTGCGCCTGAAGATCATCAGTGACACTGTGTACAGTTTGGTCTTGTTCTTTTAGCGTCTCACTTGCTAGTGTCAAATCATATGTATATATATATATATATATATATTTCAATATGTTTGTTAGGCTTTGTAGATGTGCTACACTACTGAATCCTACTGTAGAAGGTATAACACACTTCTTGTATCCCTCTCTCTTCTAGTGTTTCTCTCTTCTCTCTCGACATTTTCTCCTATTCTAAAACCTCTCGCTACTTTCCTATGCCTAGCTCCTAACCTAATGTCTTGACATGGTACCAGAGCAGGCCCTTCCGCTCGGGCCTTCTCCTCACGCTTCCGCAGCGTACGCTCCTCCCTCCTGTCACTTCCGCGCCACCGCCACGGCCATGTCGTGCTGCCATGGGGGCTTTGTCGTGCTGCCGTGACAGCCTCGACGCGCTGCCGTGGCGTCGATGCCATGCTGTTGTGACGTCGTCGTGCTGTCGTAGCGGCGTCGACGCGCCAGCGCACGGACGTCTGCGGGCCGCGCACAGTTTTAGCGCCGACCAGCTCGCCCACACGCCAGCCAGCGCCGCGCCAGCCACGGCGCCTCGCTGAAGACTCGCCCCTTCCCCCTCCTCCCCGCGGCAGCTGCGGGCTGTCTCGTGCCGTTCCCCCCCTCGTCATCGCGGTGTGAGCCACGCTACCAGGTGCCTAGGGCACCGCCGCCACCGCCGTCGGGTGCCTCGACGCGGCCGCCGCAGGTGCTGCAGGCCCTGCCTCCGCCGCCGCCGCAGTCGCCGACGCCGACGCCGCCTCTGCGACCCGCCGCTCACGTCGCCGACTAGATTCCCGAGGGGTCAACCAGCTGGTCGACGCCACACCTGCTGCAGGGCATCTGGGTGCAAGGGTGTGGGGGTGTTGCGTCTGGGGATGGGGCTTGCCAATACCAAGCCTAGGGGGTGTGTTACAGTCATCTATCCGCCGCTGACATCTATTTTTATATATGCTTGTTAGGCTTGGTAGATGTGCAACACTACTGAATCCTACTGTAGAGGGTACTATCAACAAATATAATTGTCTATGCTAGGTACTGTATATTTGTTGTAGCCTTAGTTAGGTCAGTTCTTAGAGGGTACATTCCCTCTTTTGTAACCCTCAGCCTTCCTCCCTTAGTCGCTTTTCTCTCTACATTCTAACAGGTACAACTCATTTCTTGTATCCCTCTCTCTTCTAGTCTTTCTCTATTCTCTTTCGACATTTTCTCCTAGTCTAAAACCTCTCGCTACTTTCCTATGCCTAGCTCCTAACCTAGCGTCTTAACAGCTAGGACCTTCATTGTGTACTACTTTTTATATTATCTTGACTGGCCTTGTGGCTCTTGTCTCAGTGGCTGGACTAGTAGTGCCGCCGTGGGTTGCTCTTGTTTAGGTTGTACTCTCGTTGACTGGTCTTTGGACCCTTGCCTCAGAGGTTGGACTAGTAGTGCCACCCTGAGCTGCATGTCTCTTGCCCGACACTGCCCCTTATCTAGCCTAGGGGGTGTATCAAACATATGTTCATATGTTGCTATAGGCTAGATAGGTGCGTACTCTACATTCTAGTCAACGTTTTTCTACGCTACGATAGAGTACAACCACTTGGACAAAATCAACATGTATCAACATTCTAGTCAACGTTTTTCTACGCTAAGAATCCGAGGACGCGGAATGCTTCGGAGTGAAGCGGAAGGGTTCGGTTGCCGTGTTCTAGCTAGGGACGATGTCCGTGCCGTGTGGGGTTGGGGTACGCATTAGCGGTGTGGCGCACTAAGGTATGGAAAATTCCTTACACTACACAACCCAAATTCTATTTTTTCTAGTAGGGAACTGAAAGTCATTGTCCTTTGTACGGAAACAACATATAATGGTGCCGTTTCTCAGGCCATTTTCGCGCCACCGACTGCCACCACCCTCAGAGTGTGCATCCCACCCTGATTGGTTGGACCTCGCCTGTCGACCTTGGGGTTGTCTGAAGAGTTGCGTCCAGTTGCGGTTGGGTAGGGTCTTCTTCGGGTCAGAAGGATCGAATGGCTTTTTAGAATTGTTGAGTAGGGTTTCGAGCGGAGAGGTACTCTTTCGACACGGCTTCGGGGAATACCGTATGGGAAATAGCACGGCTACCGCTTAGTTTGTTCCACACCAGTAGGTGTAATAGTAGCAGCCAGTCTGATGGCGAAAAGACAGTTTACCGAGTTAGCTGTTACCGCTACTAAGCTGGCGTCTCGGTCCCCGCATGGCCTCGTACGGCCACCGCCTCGTCCTTCTTCTCCTCACAGCCTTGCTTCTTCCGCTCTCGCTCGCCCACTCAGGTCCGTCGTCGAAGTCCGTCGTGGTGGTCCGTCAGGCCCGACGAACCAGGGTTGCAAGTAGTCATCCGAAACACCCCAAGTCGTACTCTTGCCAAGCACCGCAATTGGTAGCCTTAGTACGCGCGGGCCGTGCGTCGCCCAAACCTGATTTTCCCCATCCTCCTGCCTGGCCCGTTTCTCTCGCGGTGCCTTGTCCCTCAGCCACACCGTCTTGCTCGGGGGGGAAATGCGGCGCTGGCGCAGACGGAAATGACGTCAGCAGCAAGGCGGCGCCTTTCGCTCGTTTCGCGAGGCGTGGCGAAAGGCGTTCGCCAGCCTTCGCTTATACTCCTGTGAAAGGGTGAGGTGTCCAGTGTCGATTGTGAGGCGGGCTGAGACGATTGTGAGGCGCGTTGAGTCGGTTGTGAGGCGGGTTGAGTCGGTTGTGAGGCGGGTTGAGTCGGTTGTGAGGCGGGTTGAGTCGGTTGTGAGGCATGCTGCGAGCGGAAGAGTAGTGGGAGAGGTTCGTAGGAGGTATGAGGCAGTGGGAGGAGGGCAGTACAGTACCTTGGAGAGGAGGAGGAGTGGAGTGGCTGGTCGGGGACAGTGATGCTGCGAGGCATGCCGCGCTGATGAGGTGGGGTGCCACTAGAGTAGAGACAGTAATGAACGACGAGGGAGGATCGGAGAGTTCGCTGTCTTGCTTTTTGTGCAGCTTAGACTGTCACTGCTTTGACTGGCGCGGTTTTGACTGACACTGCTTTGACTGGCGCGGTTTTGATTGACACTGCTTTGACTGGCGCGGTTTTGACTAACACTGCTTTGACTGGCGCGGTTTTGACTGACACTGCTTTGACTGGCACGGTTTTGACTGACACTGCTTTGACTGGCGCGGTTTTGACTGACACTGCTTTGACTGGCGCGGTTTTGACTGACACTGCTTTGACTGGCGCGGTTTGGACTGACCACTGCTTTGACTGGCGCGGTTTTGACTGACACTGCTTTGACTGGCGCGGTTTTGACTGACACTGCTTTGACTGGCGCGGTTTTGACTGACACTGCTTTGACTGGCGCGGTTTTGACTGACACTGCTTTGACTGGCGCGGTTTGGACTGACATTGCTTTGACTGGCGCGGTTTTGACTGACACTGCTTTGACTGGCGCGGTTTTGACTGACACTGCTGACTGGGGTTGACTGACATGCTTTGACTGGCGCGGTTTTGACTGACACTGCTTTGACTGGGCGCGGTTTTTGGACTGACACTGCTTTGACTGGCGCGGTTTTGACTGACATGCTTGACTGCGCGGTTTTGACTGACACTGCTTTGACTGGCGCGGTTTGACTGACACTGCTTTGACTGGCGCGGTTTTGACTGACACTGCTTTGACTGGCGCGGTTTTGACTGACACTGCTTTGACTGGCGCGGTTTTGACTGACACTGCTTTGACTGGCGCGGTTTTGGACTGACACTGCTTTGACTGGCGCGGTTTTGACTGACACTGCTTTGACTGGCGCGGTTTTGACTGAACACTGGCTTTGACTGGCGCGGTTTTGACTGACACTGCTTTGACTGGCGCGGTTTTGAGCTGACACGGACTGGCCGGTTTTGGACTGACACACTCACGCTACTGGAGCCACTGCTTGCCTGGTAATGGACAATGCTCTGACTGGCTGCTTGTGACTGGCACTGCTTTGGACTGGCACTGCTTTGACTGGCACTGCTTTTGACTGGCACTGCTTTGACTGGCACTGCTTTGACTGGCACTGCTTTGACTGCACTGCTTTGACTGGCACTGCTTTGACTGGCACTGCTTTGACTGGCACTGCTTTGACTGGCACTGCTTTGACTGGCACTGCTTTGACTGGCACTGCTTTGACTGGCACTGCTTTGACTGGCACTGCTTTGACTGGCACTGCTTTGACTGCACACTCCTTGGACTGACATGGTGTTGGCTGACACGGGTTTTGACCGGAACCGTTTTGACTGACAAATACTAAGTGACTGTATCTCGATTGACTTTTGCGTTGTGGTATGGTGTGCGACAAATTGGCGTGGCATGGGTGGAATTGGCATGGAGTGGTGCGTGCTGGAACTGCATGGTTTGGTATGGCATGTGATGGCGTAGCATCTAATGCCATGGCATGGCATGCGACGTTATTTCATGTGATCTGTTTGCACATAACGGCATGGCATGCGATGACATGGCAGGGCTCCATTGGCGGAATGGCAGCAGCGGCTGCTGGTATGGCATGCTGGGCAGGGGACCGACAGGAAAGACACCCTGGCGGGGGGAGGGAGAGAGGGGCGGAGGATTGGGATGGAGAGATGGGGGGGAAGCGGGGGAGGTGGCGGGGCAAGCAGTTGAGTTGGAGCAAAGAGAGGCCAAGGAGGGGGAGAAAAGGGGTTCGAGGGAGGCGGGTCATGAAAGTAGGTCAAAAGTGGGCGATCAGGGTGGAGAGGCGCACATGGGGAGAGGCGGACACGTGTTAGATAGCAGACATGACACACGTGACAGACATGACACACGTGACAGACATGACGTACAGGCGGACTCACACATGGGATGGGCACAAGGTGCGGACTTCGGTGACTCCAATGACTTCCTCCCTGTGCTCGACCCGCTCCGCCTGCCGTCCCTCTTCCAATCACCTGCTGCCACCTCATCAGCCTCCTCGGACACCTCTGGTCCAGCCAGCCTGGATGCCACGTCAGCAGCAGCGGCTCAGGAGAATGTGGTGAGAGCAGGTGGCTTCGAATTCACTGTGCAGACTGCTGATGATGCTGACGGGGCAGTGGAGACTGACGCAGTGAGGGTAGAGGGGGCTGCAGGGGAGGGTGAGGCGGAGAGAAGTAATGGCACGCACCACGGGACGGGCCGTGGAAGACAGCTGCAGCAGCGGCGCAGCGAGGGGCTGGGGCAGGGTAGGGGGCAGGACCAAAGCAGCAAGGCAGCACAGGACGGGGGAAGCGGAGACGGAGGGAGCGAGGCTGCTCAAGGGGGGGCCAGCAGCGAGGGCGGGGTGACTCTGACAGGGCTGTCGTCGGCCGTCATGTCCGGCTCACTGCTCTCTGAGGCGCCTCTCGGCTCCCCCGTGCTCCTCCGCATCGCCTTTGCTGCCGGCCCCAAGGCCGGCCACCAGACCCAGCAGCAGCAGCAGGTGGCGTCGCCTGTTGGCCTCTCGTCGCCCTTCTTCCGGCTGTCCTCGCAGGTGGACCTGTCCCAGTCGCGCGTGCAGCTCTATGGCCCCATGCCGCACTCCCGCCGCCGCACCTTCCCCCTCGCCGTCTCCCAGGCTGCTGACGCTGCTGGGGGCGAGGTGCTCACTTCTAACTTCACAGTCAAGGTGCGCCACACACGCTGCACAGTCAAGGTGTGCTACACACGGCACGGCTACAGTCGTCTACATGTGACCACACTTGCACTTGGTCCATGGTCCGTCGTCCATCCTCCGACGCAATTCAACAGACGGCGTGTTCCTGTGCTCTGTCAATCGTGTTCCTGTGCTCTGTCAATCGTGTTCCTGTGCTCTGTCAATCGTGTTCCTGTGCTCTGTCAATCGTTCGCACACGTGCACATCCCAACCGTTTCTCCAGCGCCCACAGCGTGATGGTGGTGGTGGCGGACGCACACATATTCATTCATCCGTCTCCCTTCCCTTTTTCCTTTTTTTTGTGTGTGTGTGTGTGTGTGTGTGTGTGTGTGTGTGCGCTTGCCTGCCTCCTCCCCCACCCTCCCCCAGGTGCCCGGTGCGTACAGTGTGATGGTGGTGGTGGCGGACACGCAGGGCAACCGCCTCAAGTTCAAGGCGCCCAACTTCTTCCGCTCCGCCCTCCCCACCCCACGCACCTCCTCCCCACTCCGCTGTCTCCGCCCCTCTCTCC